ATGATGAAACATATCCAGCTGGAAATGATTGGTTGCACCCATTTAAACCAGCTCAAATTCTAATCCACATCTTTTTAATGTTTAGGTTTAATGAACACACTTTACTATGATAGAGTAAGGGTATGAAAATTTTTGAAGGCTAACATCACTCATGTTCAGTCTATCGTTGGCAACTTCACAAATTGGATAGGATGGGAAGAAGCTAGTATACTCATTAGGCGAATAACACTTGTGTTTCTATGCAGAGTGACTATTGGTTCACAGTACATAGAACAGCAGAATGTTAATCCTTATTTAGCAATAGCAGTGACTGTTTAAAATGTGGAGATTGCATTTTAATATGCTTTGCAATTGCATTTTGAAAAAAATGAGTGTGCATAGGGTGGAAAATACAGGTAGTTGATATGGTCTTTCCTAGTGACAAGCCGAATGAAGGCTTATGGATAAAAAGGGTATGTTAGATACCAGCTTATCAGTCAGAAAATATGAAGGCAATGGTCTGGATCTTTACCTCTGGGCCAGATGGCCTTTTCTGGGTGGAGTTTCCTTGGGAATTCAGCTTTCTCCATACTAGGGAGTAATTATAGGTTCTCTGGGAATTTGCTCTGATGTCCTGTCCTATTGGACAGGCTTCTTATACTCAGCCTACAGAAGGCTTGGTAAAAACCTCAGTGTCTCAGTTCCTACCAATGCAAGTTCAGTGGAAGGGTATAATGTTCAAAAGATCAGATTAGAAACACTCTGTGGATCCGACCACAAAGAAAAAGAAAACATCCCAAGGGAATTGGAGACTTACAAATTCTACTGGAATAATATTTAGAATTTATAATCTATGAGGATAGACAGCTGATGTAGCTATATGTGCAAGAAGGGTATGTATTTGTGCTTTCGATTTGCACTTTGTTTCCTTTTCTTCCTGTACAATTTTCAATAATTTCTTTCCTGTACCTCTGCCTTCTAAGTTTAAGGGTTGTTGGTTGGTTTTTTGGTTTGTTTCTGTTTTTGTTTTAAATCAGGCAGTAAACTATTACATATATCACTGGCTTTGGATAACAATTTGAGTAGAATATTACTCACAAAATAAGAAAAAATCAAACTACCTATTTTAATTCATAAACATCTATGTGTATTAAGGAAATAATATGTGAATTCTGTCTTCTTTAAAAAGGTAAATTAGAAGGAAGACATTTTTCTTTGAAGATAAATATAGGTGGAAGAGTTCTTCAGTAGAATATATTGTGTAATCCGAATTTTTCTTTTAAGTACTTTGGACATGTCTCGAAAAACATACTCACTTTTACCTCAGGTTAAGAAAGCTAATTATGGTTTTGTAGTAAGCAGCATAAGATTAGAGTATTATTATAATAACAGTCTATAATTATTCATAGTGATGATACACTGAAATAAAAATGAATAATAGCAATAATAATAGTACCTGTTCTTAGGAAAATTATATTAGAAAATGATATCAAGATGAGAGAAATTAACTAGTTGTAGGAAAGCTCAACTATTCTCTTAAATGAATTAATCAAGCATTATTTGTAACTGATTCAGCTGTATCTGGACACTTCTGTTTTCTGATGAACTTGACTCAATAGCAGTGGGTTGTGTGCAATCTTATTTTGGTATTGCTTCCTTATTTCTACACATGTCACTGTTTTCAAAAGGAGGCATTGAAGAATGTATGCTACTCCCTGGCTTCTCCAGAAGACATTCTTAGGACTTCCTGCCCTTCATAGAAATCCACTCCTATAGAATATGTTGTGTGGTGTGCCATCGAGTCAGAACCAACCCATAACTGAGCCCCCAGCAAGTTTTCAGAAGCAGCAAATTGCATGGAAGGAGATTGTCTATCCTCTTGCAGAGCTGGTGGATTTGAACTGTGCATTTAGGATTGTAATAGTTTCTTACAACTAGGCCACCAGAGATTCTGCTTAGAGTGCATATTGTTGTTCTTGTTGATTGCCTTGAGTCAAGCAGGACTCATTTTTTTATTAAATTTTATTAGTTTCAATGAACACTCACAGGGATTCTGGGCTTTCACTGCTTCATTGCCGCACCATTCTCTCCACCCTCCTCCCCAGTTTGTTCTTCTTCCCCGCCATCCGAATGTCTGTTTTAATTGTCCAATTGCCACAGTGCTTGTCAAAGTCAGCTCTGATTAATCTCCTTTGTCAGTGTGTCCTTTGCCATTCCCTATCACTCTTCCCTGAGAGAAACTTCACCCTGAGTCATAAGGAAAAGGGGATGGCGTATTCTCTTAGCTACTTCCTGCTGAAAAGGGACGCTGTGGGTTTCAGGGTGAAGATCTTCTCTCACTACTCTAAAGGGCCCCTTTGGCAGTAGGAAACACATAGACTATTATGGAGATTGATTTTGGAATTTAGATGCACTGTTATTAATTGTGCTTAGCCGTACAATATCCTTGAAGATGTATCATGGTGGGGTTGCAACCTAGAAGACACAAATTTAACAAGTTATAAGTACATGAGTCAAAAGTTATGGAAAAGTAAAAGAAAAGATTCTTTCATTGTTTTACAAACCCTCCCCCAGACCCCTCCACCATGTAGCCATCACTCTAGACTCCTGTGATGACAGAAATACCTAGTCACATATCTCTTTTAAACAGTTTTCTCCCTCTGTTTCAGTGCAGTATATATTATTGAACCCATCTTACTCAGTCTCTCCCCAGCCCCGAGGTTAGTCCCATTCTACAACAGTGGCATCATGTAATATTTGTCCTTTTGTGACTGGGATATTTCACTCAGCATAATGTTCTCCAGAGTCAACCATTCTGAATAATGCATGAGTTCCTTGTTTTTTAATGCAGCATAGTATTCCATTGTGTGACTATACCACAGCTTCTCTAGCCATTCGTTTGTTGATGGGCACTTAGCGCCATACTGCTTTCCACAGGGGTTGCACCATTTTACACTCCCACCAACAGTGAATCAGGGTTCCAGTTTCTCCACAACCTCGCCAGCATTTGTTGCTTGCTGTTCTGTTAAATTTTGCTATTTTGACTGGTCGAGCAGGACTCATAACGATCCTGTGAACAAAAGACCTGAAGCCTTTCTCTAACTATCAAGTTTATGGAATTTCTGGAGGCGTCTTCTTTAGGAAGTAGATGCCACTGATAATCTGGGGGGCGGGATGGGGAGGGAAGAAAGCCGGATTGTGACATAAAATCGTACTATTTTAAAAGCCACAGATATGTAATTTTTCAATCATTCATGTCCCATATTTCAGTTAGAGGAGCAAAGGACATGAATGCCATTTTTTTAAACTGAGGACTATATGATAGTACAACTAGAATCCTCAAAGGAGAGGATGGTAAAAGTTTGTATTGCTCATATTTTGAGGAGAAACCAGTTCTTAGAAAGAGATGACATGCTGTTAAAAGGTAGAAGAAGACTACGACCTTCAGTGAGGTGAATTGCCACAGTGACTGCAAAAATACACTCAAGCATGGCAAAGAGCGTGAGGATAGTGCAAGAAAGGGCAAGTTCAGTTCTGTTGATGAGTTAGGGTTGACTCGAAGGCTCCTACCAACAAGACTGAAAGTGAATCTGATTCAAGCAGTGATCTTTTCAATCACTTGTTATGCTTCAGAAAGCTGTACAATGACTAAAGATGGCAGAAGAAGAATTGATCCCTTTGAGCTGTGGTCTTGGAGAATACAGAATATCCCATGGACTACCAAGAAAAAATATATCATGAACAAAGTGCAACCAAAGGTGCTCCTTGGAGCCAAAGATTTTGAAGCTATCTTATGTTTTACATGTTTTGGGTATGTTAGGAAGTGCTATTCCTTGGAAAAGCACATCAAGCTTGAAAAAGTGGAGGGTCAGGAAAAGAAGACCCTCAGTGTGATGGACTGATACACTGTAACAATGGTTCAAGTATGTTGGAGGTGAATAGTACGGGTCAGGGTTCATAGGGCCGACTGCTATGAGTGCTAGTTCACTCAACAGTGCCTAATGCCTAATGACAACGCCAACAAAATATATAGAATATAAATTTTTCAAAAACGATCCGAATGAAGTTGTAATTTTCATAGATTCATGACAAAACCAAAAAGGATTGGAAGAATTATTTTTTTCTGAGAAATTGTTTTGTTTCTGTGAGATCTAAGTCTTTATTTTATTTGTTCCTAAAGAAAAATACATAAAATACTTGTTAACATACACACTTATGTGCTGCTGAGTTAACTAAACTCACAGTGACCCTATGAATAGTGATTCTCCATCTCTGACACATATGGGCCTCACTGCCGCAGTCTGTCAGCCTATCTCATCCACAGTCTTCCTCTTTTGGACTAACCCTCCACCCTTCTCAGCATAATGTTCTTCCCTAAGGACTAGTCCCTCCTGGTGACATGTCCAAAGTACGTGAAATGGAGCTTTAAAATCCTTGTCACCAAGGAGCAAACTGATTTCGTCCTCTCCAGGACAGACCTCTTTGTTCTCTTAACAGTTCATACTTACTTGGTATTTCTGAGAAAATATCAGTACTTAAGGATCTTCTGGGCAGGGTGTGGATAGCTGTGTTTGGGTGGAGAAGCCAGATAGAGGGTGAAGATGCACTTAGGCATCTCAGGGTGAGTAAAAGCCTGTGCAGGGTGAGAGTACAGGGCCATGGTCTACCTAGATAAAGTTTTAATATCTTAAACTCCTGCAGAAAGAAAACAGAATTTTGAAGAAATAGTCTATATAGTAATAGGTATGATTCCTGGTTCATAATTTAAAGCAAGAAAGGAGAGAAGGGTCCAGGAAGCCTCTTTGCTAAAGAAAAGTATTTGTTTATTTATAACTGGCAAAATAATCTGTTTCAGTTGGGTGTTTTCTTTGTACTTTGATCTTTTTGTACTGATATTTAAGCTTCTGTTTTATAATCTTCTTTCTAGTGACAGAACCAGACCTCTTGGAAACCACACCAACCAGACCTAAGAGATTCAAAGAAGTACTGAACCTTCATTTGTCCCCTGAACTAGAAAAAAAATGGGCTGTAATCGGAACTGCGGACTTATTACTGGAGCTGTCATTGGTGCAGTCCTGGCTGTGTTTGGAGGCATTCTAATGCCAGTTGGAGATATGATTATTCAGAAGACAATTAAAAAGGTAGACCGTTTTTAAAAGATACTTCTTGCCTTTCTGCTTCATCCTGTCTTCTATCTTTCACTTTGAATGCCATTTTTACACTTCTTAAGTTGTAATTGTTTTATATTCAGTATTAGAGTATATACAATGAAGAGTATTTTGTGCAAGTACATTATAAAAACAAGCATTTTGGCAGATATTGAAGAAATTATAAGTCATTGCCATGCATAATCTTGGTCTGGTAACTTTCTCCACTGTTTTGGATATAACTATTTATGGTTGTAGTAACTCTTGGTTATCTCATGATAATAGGTTATTTCCTGTTTATGAAATTTTACATTTGCCCCTTAGAAAATATACTCTGAAATAAGTTTTAACATTTACTTGATAATATGCTAGAAATTGACTGTAGTTTTGCATAAAACTTGATTGAGTATATTAATTTGGTTCATGTTATGTGAATGCTTTTGCATAAGCAAACTAGAATCTCCCATCTTAGCTACTAATGAACTTCACACTCAATTGCCAGAAAAGCTAACTGATGAGAAGACAGGATCAGAAAAGCAAACTCAAATAGCTTTAGGATTTATACAGGCAAAGAGTAAAAATAGTCAGGTTGCCAAGAATACAACGATGGTGAACTTGAGAGTTTGCACCCTCCCTAAATGCATGTTGGTTCAGAGCTCCACGCATGACTGAGTTCTAGCTTCAGCTCTCAGCCTGGTTAGCATGCTAATGGGCTAGACAAAGGATTAATAAGCATTTCCCATGTACGGAACAATAAGAATTAAGTTGTAAAGTGGATTAGGTCTAACACTGTCAAGACCATTACCTGTATCCTCCATCTCTGCTTAACATCTTGTTCTTTCTAGGAGTGCAAACATACACTGTTTTAGTTCACTGAAACATTGATTTCCAGAATTAATTTCAAACTAGTTAGTGATAAGAAGTTATCAATATTATCAATTATCATGGATTTAAAGTACTGCTATTCTAGATATTAAAATTTCTTGCTGTATTATTGGGTTTTTTTTTTCCTTCAGAGTATTTTAAGATATTCCTAAGTGCAATTAGGATATCAAAAGATAAGCGACACTGGACAAATCTGCTGTCAAGGACCTCATTAAAATGCTTAAAAAGCCAGGATGTCAGTTGAAAGACTAAGGTACACCTGACACAAGCCATGGGGTTTCAGTTGCTTCCTATCTGAAAGCTGGACAATGACTAAGGAAGACCAAAGAAAAATCATGCTTCTAAATTGTGGTATTTGACAGACTATTTCATGAGCTATGAAATAAAGTCTGTCTGGGAGGAAGTGCAATGAGAGAAGGATGGTAAGATTTAATTTCACATGGTTTCAATATATTGGCACCAGTCCTTGGAAAATTACATTATCTTAGGAACAGCAGAGGAGCAAGAAAAGATGACCTTCAATGAGAAATTGATACAATGGCTCAGACTTGATGGTGATTGATGCAGAACAGATCATCCAAGATGCTGGGCTGTGCGAGGAGGAATGTGGCATCAGGATTGGTGAAAGAGGAGTCATCAACAACCTGCATTATGCAGATGACACAACCCTGCTTGCTGAAACTGAGGAGGACCTCATGCACTTGCTGCAGGCTCAATATCAAGAAAACAAAGATTCTCACCACTGGACCAATTGGCAGCATCAGTATGGATGGTGAAGAGACTGAGATAGTAAGTTTTAGTTTGCTTAGCTCCACAGACAACGCTCTTCATACCAGCAGCTAGGAAATCAAGAGACAAATTGCATTGGGAAAGTCAGCTTTGAGGGACCTCTCAAGAGTACTAAAGAGCAACGACATCAGGCTGGAGAGCCTGATCTGAGCTATAGTCTTTGCAATTATGTGCTATGCATCAGAGAGTTGGAGAGTGACTAGGGATGATAGATAATTGTCTTTGAGCTGTGGTGCTGGAGTGTTGAATGTACCATGGACTGCTAGGAGAACAAACAGGTTTGTCCTGCAGAGGGTGAAACCAGAATGCTCCTTGGAGTCAAGGCATGTTTCACAGAGGGACTGGTCGTTGGAGAGGGACATCATGCTTGGGAAAGTGGAGGAGAGGAAGATCCTTGGAGATGAATCGATTCTATGACTGGGATGGTAGGAATGAATGTGTCGGAAATAGCGAGGTTGGCACAGGATAGAGCGGTGTTTAGGTCTCTTGAACGTTGAGTTGCAAGCTACTTGATGGCAAATAACAAGTTCATAAAATTTAATTCTGAGAAAAATTAGATTTTTTAACATTAAAATAATGTAATGTAAAAGTTATTTACAAAAAACTTTTACCGACTTGGGGAAAAAAGACTTTATGCTGAAGAGATCTGGAATTTTTGAAGGCTGAAGAATTTTGCAATATTATCAGTGCTGATTGTTATGGGTAAAAAAAATGAGACTAAATTACTTGGAGAAGAAAAATGCTAGATATTGTGACAAGAGCATTCGGTAACAGGAGATGAACAATCTACAAATGCAAAATGGGCTTAGATTTAGGAAGCTTTGAACATCAGGCAGAAGTGTACTGTGTTTGTACTTAATACATTTCTGAGTATGTACGAAACATTAGTGTCATTTCTCTACACCTATTCAGTCTGTATGAAGGAAGATTCATCAACAGTCTGCATTATACACAAGACACAGCCTTGCTTGTAGAATGTGAGGAGGACGTGAAATCCTTGCTGCAGAAGATCCAAGACTACAGTCTTGAATAGCAGAAAACAAACTTCTTTACTACTGGACCAATAGGAAACATGCTGATAGTTGGATAAATGATTGCAACTGTCAAGATTTGGATAACTTACTTGAATCCACAACCAACACCCTTGGTATGAACATTTAGTAGCTCAGATGTATTGCTTTGGGCAAGTCTGCTGTCAGAGACCTCTCAAACACTGAAGAGCAATGATGTCAGATTGATTCAGGGAATAGTCTTTTTAATTGCTGTTATACAGCTGAGATCTGAATAATGACTAAGGATGTCATAGTATTGAATATCCCAATGCTGGGCAATGAATAAAGATGACAGAAGAAGAAATGAAAGAGTTGAGGTGTTGGAAGAGTCCTGAATATCCCATGAACTGCAAAAGAACAATCAGATGTCTAGGAAAAGATGCATACAGAGTGCTCCTCGCAGACAGGCTTCATCTCGTATTATATACATTCTTAAGGAAGGGATATCATGCTTGAAAAGGTCTACTAGCATCAGTGAAGAGAAATACACCCCCCCCCCCCAATTACTGCATGGGCTCAAGATTTTTTAGAGATGATGTTAGAAGAAAGGATAGGATTCACAGGGTCACTGTGAGTTGTACTCAACCCAATGACAACAACAATGAAATTATCAAAAAAACATGGTGTTGTTAGGAAAGATTATTCCTTGGAGAGGGGCATGATGCTTGGAGAGGTGAAAGGTCAGGAAGAGGAAGAAAGAGGAATCAAAGGAAAAAATCTTCAATGAGATGTATTGATTTAGTGTCAAAGATAATAAGGACAGAACAGGATAGGACAGAATTCAGATCTACTGTTCATTGGATCACTATGAGTCATCCTCGACTCAACGACACTTAGCAACAGCAGTCATCAAAGAAAGAGCATTCATTTAGTGCTTATTAAGAGCTTAAAAAAAAAGCTTCATGTCTTCCATATCTTAGCTGGTAGAGTGGAATACTGTAGTTAATCAAGCTCAAAGGAGACATTTGGAGCTCTTGTGGCCCTAGTGGATAAGAAGTTGCCCTACCAATCCAAGGGCAAGTAGCTGTTCCACAGAGAAAGATGGGCAATCTCTTCTGAAAGTTGATTCAAATTCCAAAGTACATAACAATCATAAGATCTTGCAATCATCATCACAAATATCTATTATGAGTATAAATACTATTAGCTTACACATTATATAAGCTTAAGATATGCTGAATAATTTATCCAGTACAAATAGAAGTAACTATCTACATTAACACAGTCAGACTATATGACACATAGCCTTGTACACTCACACCCTGCTTTGCAGTGGAAAGAGTTGGAAAATGAGGGAATAAAATACAGAGAAACAAGAAAAAGTAATACACAGTTGATCAAATTTAAGGAAGACTTGTTGTTGTTGTTGTTAGGTGCTGTCGAGTCACAGGCGACTCATAGCGACCCTATGAAGGAGAGTCCTCAATGTTTGGGTGTCTCTCATCCTCTCTTCAGGTTCACAGGGTTTCTGGAGGCAAGCTATTAGGAAGTGGATGCCAATCCTCCTTCCAAGCTTAAGGAAGACTTAAGACTCCTTAGTACAAGGAGTAATCCTGATTAGGGTGCTTTGGTGGCTTAGTGGTAAGGAGTTGCAATGCCAACCCAAAGGTATGCAGTTTGAATTCACCAGCTGCTCACCAATCCACCAATCTCCTCACTTAAAGGTAACAGCCTCTGACAACTTGTTGGTAGTTCAACTCGGTTTTGACTTGATGGTACCCACCAACAACCCTGACTAAAATGGTAATTGTTGTGTGCCGTTGAGTTGTATAACACTCGTAGCTGAGCCTCTTTTCGATGATTCCAACCATCTGGTCTTGGGGTTGGCAGTGCAACTCCTTACCACTGGACCACCAGAGCTTCTGAAAAATATAAGAAATCAAGCAGATAAAGAAAGAATCCTTGATAATGTTGTGAAATATCAGTTAGGATGGAGGAAATAAAGAAAAAAGATAAGGGTGGAAAGAACTGGATGCAAGTGTCTGATTGTGCAACTAATAGGAATGTTTACCTAAGTGAAGAAAAGTCTGTTTTGTTTAGAAAAAAAAGTTTATATACAGTTTGATCCCATTGTCAACCTGTATTTCAAAGGTCAGGGCTCAAACAGATTTGATCGTTGCTACAAAAAATAGACAAATGATGGATTTGCAAGGAGATAGAAAAACAGATGTTTAAGATTTATTAATAATGCCAATAGCAAGAAGACAGGAGGTTAAAACAATTTTGTCAGAAGAAAATAAAATAAGAAAGTTAATAGGCTAGTACTCACAGAAAATAAGATTCTCAGGAACATATGAAGGCTTTAACATTTGTGAAACACAACTTTGAAGTCCTGTAATGTCACAAGATAAGCTATCTTTTGTAAATGGAGCCTGGAGCATTGACCTTTATCTAAAGTTCTTTGGTAGTTTCTGTATTAGTGGCAACTCTTGCCATTGATTTTTAGTCTGTCTAATACGATTGCATAAATCAGCTGCTTCCACAAAAGTCTACTACTTGTCAAAAATACTGGTAAGAAACTGTCAAGGTAAAACCCATGAAATTTAAAAAGCCCGTAGAGTTTGTAGTTTAGAAATGAACAGCAAAGACACCAAAACACAGATGTAGAAATAAAATATATGGGCTAAGTGAAACCATTTCAAATAACAGTTTTACTCTCTCAGAACAATTATTGTTAATGTGCTAAAATTCACTGAATGTTGTGCATATGATTACGTGGGGGAAAATTTTGAACACAGGAAAAATTGTTCTGTTTAGGACCAGTGTTTAGTGCATGACCAAGGAGATGAGAGAATATAGGTTGCTTTTTAAAATTTTGTTTTTCTTTAATGGACTATAAATGTATATATGGAAGAAATGGAAATATTGCTATAAGACTGGTTTGGGAAACAAAATATACTAGGCATATCCCTTCAATGAATAAAAAATATCTGCATTATAACAAGTAAAAATCATTGCCATGGAGTAGGAATCAACTGATAATTGACCCTCCAATGGTTTTCAGAATCTGTAAGCCATATAGGAGAAGATTAGTTTTTTTCCTGAGGAGAATTGAGTGGATTTGAACTGGCTGGCTTTGGTTTGTCAGTGCAACTCCTTACCCATTATGCATCTGAAAAGCTAGGCAATGAGTAAGGATAACAGAAGAATAACTGCATTTGAATTGTGCTGGGAGAAGAGTGAACATTCCATAAGCTACCAAAATAGCAAATAAGTCTATCTGGGAGGAAAGGCATTCATGGTACTTAAATGCAAAGATGATGAAACTTGGTCTCCCATACTTGGACATTGTCATGAGGGGCCAGTACTTGGAAAAAGACATCATGCTTGACAAGGTCAGCGAAAGAGAAGACTCAGCAAGATGCATTAACAAATGACTGTAACAACAGCCTTCATTGAAAGAAAAAAACAAACAAACAAACAAAAAAAAACAGCCTTCATTGTCAGATGATGAGGTTAGGATAGGGCAAAGTTCAGATCTGTTATTCACAAGATCACTGTGAGTCATAGGCAATTCTATGTTAGCTAACAACAACAACAAGCCCAGTAATAGTATGTAAATTTTCTTATCTAAAATGTACTAACTTTGCTCTAAGTGCTCACAGCCTACAAAGCCACATATATTCACTAAACCATAGAAAATTACCAATAGTTACAAAACATATACACATATTATACATGTATAAAGTCTCTTTTTACATGGATCTAGTGGGTATTTCATTCTGCAGAGAAAACTCTATTACAGTTAGTTCTCTTTTAATGGCATAAAAAGTTCTTGAGTTCTTCGAAAGAACTGATGGAAAATATGGACCTTGAGGTATACATGCTAAATAATGTGCTTGTATGTGAGAGAATATTGTGGTTTGTGTGTGTATATTCACATGTATTTGAAATATCTTTGAAAGGCCAAGTAACATACAGTTTCAAAACCCTCATAAAAAAGGAATTTTAGATTTATAGGATAATCTGAATATTCAGACTATCTCATGGCTTGTCAAAAGAACAAAAAGATATTTCTTAGAGGAATTGTAGCCACAGTGTTCCTTAGAAGCAAGGGTGGTAAAACTTTTCCCCACGAAGTTTTTATGATTATAAATATTGTCAGAGGAAACCAGTTGTTGGAAAAGACATGCTGGGGAAGATGATCATGCTGGGGGTGGGGGGGGATGACATCACGCTAGGAGAAGAGGAAATTCTTCAAGGACATGGAGATGGATTGACACAGTTAATACAACAGTGGGTTTGAGTTTGGGAATGAAGTTGCCACAAGGGAGGGCAAGGTTCAGATCTGTTGTGTTCAAAGAGTCACTAGAAGTCACACTTAATTCAATGGCACCTATGTGTGACAACAACAAATGGAACTATTTGGCTTGATAATGTGGCATTAGTATGTTTAGAGGAAATAATTGGTTGTTAAAAGAAAACAGTAAGGGTTCTGTCATGATTTTAGCAACAGTAATAAACCCAGTGTAAACGGATTGCAACAGCAAAGGATTGAACTAGTACATTATAACTTGGCACCTAGTGCTTCCCTTGTACTCCTCCTTAAGCAATAGACAAAATACCCTACAGATAAGAAATTTAATTGGACATCTGTCAACATAGAGCAAAGGATGAAGTAAGATGACAGGGAAGAAAAGGCAATATAATTATGATGCAGAGTGTAAGGGTCAGATACTAAGATTCTCATGATTCTGCTACTCTTTCCATGGTTTATACCTGGCTTATGTATCTAGTTTTTCAGAGCTCTGTTCTAGAAGTTGTGATAAGATCCAATGATCTTTCCTGATCTGTCCTGTGAATTAGTTTGCAGATGAAGAAAATAATAGCTTGGGTTGTTTTTTGCATTCATGGGTTTTTCTGTGAATAGTTTTCTTCCTCTTTCCTCTGAGGTACACTGGAGTTCTTCATTTGGTCATGCTCCAAGGTATTTAACTGGAAATACTGCCCGGTACAGAGTCAACTTTGTTTGTACTGGTTAGTATAGCTCTAGAGATACCCAGTTCCCAGGGAAAGGAAAGCAATTAAGAGACTCTCTGTGGTAACCCTTTCATGTCTCTGATACTGAAATCCACCTCTAAAGAGTGTGACACCACTGATTTTCAGTGTGTTCCCCAAAGGGGTAATTGGAAGACTTCTTAACGTTGTCTTTCTCTTTTTCACAGGAAGTTGTCCTTGAGGAAGGTACAATTGCTTTTAAAAATTGGGTTAAAACAGGCACTGAAGTTTACAGACAGTTTTGGATCTTTGACGTGCAAAATCCACAGGAAGTGATAGTTAACAGCTCTAACATTAAGGTTGTTCAAAGAGGTCCCTACACATACAGGTGAGTAAATAAACCCACATAGCTAAGTGATCCTTCTTGTGAGTGTGTGTGCGATATATAGAAATATATATATTTCTACAAAGGAGTTCTATTTAATGAATTACTGCCTTTTGAAAGCCACCGAAGGTCAGCTATCGGTCAGTTCTGACTCCATGGTACACAAGAACATATGTATGTGCGGACGCTCATGCACAGGTGTGTGCTTGCACACACACACACACACACACTCACACTCGTAGATATACCTCAAATATATCTGTCTAATAATATGCATTTGGTGCTGTTAATTGATAGTAAAGTCCATTTCCTTTCTCTTTATACTATCTACTAATCTACTAGCAATGACTATTTGGATATATTTTATGCATGTGGCTATAAAGCATAGGCTACTCGACAGCACTTAACAATATATAAAAAGCTGTGATGCAATCCCATCAGCTGTTCCCCAGGGGAAGGATGAGCAATCTCCTCCAGTGTCATTTACTGCCTCTGAAAACATGCTGGAGGGTCAGTTATGGGTTGGTTGCAACTTGGCAGCACAAAGAGGGGGAAAAGCAAAGAAAAAAAACCCAACCTTACTATATATATACTCACTGCCATTGGGTTTAAAATGACTCATAACTGACCCACCAGCGGGTTTCCAGAAGCTGTAAGTCTGCAAATGACACAGGAAGAGATTGTCCATCTTTCTCCAGAAAGTGGGTTAGAACCTCCTGACTTAAGTAATAATACACACACATCATACATGTATCTCTTCATAAATCTAAAAGTAGAACCACTTTTTCAGTAATTGTTAGTAAACATTGTGTAGAAAACATATATGGAATGTATTAATCACTAACATCAAATAACTGTACCACATTTAATAAGTAACAAGCTCTGGTTGTTTTGGTCATATGGCACCACATAGCCAGACATTTGTCAAGGAAGGCATCATCTTCATTGTCAATATATCTTTCCAAAAGATTACTATAGCTATGATAAGCAGCCATGGAAATGTAAAGCTTCTGTAATAAGCCAAGCATGATTATAAAAGAGGAGAACTTGATAGCTAATTGAGTAGAAGGACAGGGAATGATCCTTCCAGTTGGAGAACTCTTGTTTTGTTGTTTGTTTAGACAGTCCTTAGGTCAGTTTTAAGGGCATTAATTAGGTGGGAGACACACACACACACACACACACACACACACACAGTTGGACTTTGTGCTCTCCTGGTACCAAACACCTTCATACACAAGGTCATTGCTGGTAGGTGCTGTTGAGTATGCTCTAACACACAGCAGTCCTCTGTGCAACCAAATGAAACACACACGATAGGTGGTGGCAAAAGTAAATGATATTTTTGGTGTAAGACAGAGTGCATGTTGGAGTGTTCATACCCTTGATCTACTTGGAAAGAATTGGTGGGTGATGAAAAAAGAGAAAAAAAAGATTTACAGCCAAAGTTTATAAACAATTCCCTCTTCCTGGTATAACAATTGTTAATAACAAATATTAATAGGCTGGAAGATCTCCATCTATTAAGCTATGACAACTTTTCCATAAATTAAATCTCACATCTGAAAGAAATTGGAAGTATAGGTGATTTCTCTTCTCAAACAGAACTGTACATCTGGCCCAAGGCTGTTAATGTGAATTAAAGTGAGGACTTGTGTCAACTTATGAAATCATTGCATTTGAGACAGTGATCATATTCCAGCTGATTTAAATTTTCTATGAAAAGTCTGTTTCTTATATCCAATATTCTTATATCCAAATTATCTTCTATCCAATATAGATATATACAGAATATTCTATATGAAACAATGTTAACTTACTTTGCTTAAGAGAAATAAAAAAGAGCACTTTGGGGGCAAAATCTAGGATAAATTACTCACCTTGACTCACCAGTCCTTTTAACTATCTAGTTTAAAACAAAAAACAAAATATACTGTAATTATGTAGTTCTTTTAAAGCGCTTTCTAAACAAAGGATTGTTTTAGGAATCTTCTCTTAGAGAGTGCCATCTCCTGATATATTGTTGTAAACACACTTTAGTAAGCTAGAATTTGGAGCCCAATTATTTTATTCTTGTTTCAACGTGCAAACTGGATATATATAAATATCTGTGCAATGTGAAATCGCCTGTTTGAGATGCTATTTCATCTCATAGGCTTTACTGCCTCTGAAAACTTGCTGGAGGGTCAGTGGTGAATCTCTGAATCTCTTTCAACTGGATGGTACTTAACAAAAGAATTAATTGTCCTGCCTTTCTTTGAAGTTAATATTAGGGATCAAAGAAACTAAAATCTTATGGAATTATATTTTTAAAATAGCTTGGCTAATGTTGAATTTTTTTTAAAAAAACCCATAAACCATTAATGCATTTTTCAAAATACTTATTAGTATAATCCACTATTGTTCTTAGTTGGTAAGTCGAGTAAGATCCATAGCGACCCTATGAACAACAGATCTGAATCCAGTCCTATCTTGTGCCATCCTCATACTTCCTGAAATACTAGAGCCCATTGCAGCAATCATTGTCTCAATCTACCTATTTGAGGGTCTTTCTCTCTCTGGCTGACCCTCTGCCTTTCTGAGCATTATGTCCTTTTCCAAGGAATAGCTCTCCTAGCAACATCCCCAAAGTATGTGAGGTAAAGCTTTATCTTCTTTGCCTCCAAAGAGCACACTAGCTGTACCAGAATTCACGATGTACCTGAATTTTTTTTCTCTAATTTCAATTCCAACATGTGATAATGGTGCTTTGATTCGTTTCAGTGAATATTCTTTACTCATCAGTGGCATTGTGTGTTAACTATTGACATACTAACGAAAAGGTCAGTAGTTTAAACCCACCAGTTAGCCACAGTGAGGATTTATAGCCATCAACAAACCATGGGCCAGTTCCTCTTGCCTTATTGGGTCACCATGAGTTAGAACCCACTTTACTGAAAAATGTCCATTATTATCAAGTTGGAAATGACTCACCTAATTTGAAAACAGCAGGTTTCAGACACAGAAATGGATAGACGATTTTATACAGACAACTTCACCAGAGTTCCCTTTTATATTCCGTTGTTACGTTGTCATTAAGTTGAAACTGACTCATAGCTGACCCTTTAGCTGGTTTTCAGAGGCTGTAAATCATTTGGGAGTTGATTGCCCATCTTTTCACCAGGAGCAGTTTTTGGGTTCAAATCGCTTACCACTGGGTTGTCAATGCAACTCTCTATTGTAACTGGACCACTAGGGCTCCATTGTTATGTAGACTGCGACTCATACTAACGATGTACACATCCGAAACTTACCCTCCTCACCACCTTTATTGAATTGAGCCTTTGTTACATAATGTCCACTCATTTTGTTGAGGACCTTCCTCTCCTATGCTGACTTGACACCTTTCCACACATGGTGTCTTTCTCAAAGTTGTTTCTCCTAATAACTTGCCCAAAATTTATGAGAAGTTTCACTATGTTTGCTTATCTTTAATTCTTATTTAGTAGTTGACAGGCTGTATACATTTTTTCCAAATATTAAACTGTGTTGCTCTTTAATACTTTTTCCTGTTTAAATCTCACTACTGTCTCCTTTTAGCAAAAAGTATTTGAAGGAATGCAGCACTGTTTTTGATCTTGTTTATCTATGACTTTCTCTGTTCCCTAGTCTCATTATATAATCATAAACACAGTGAGATGGTTTCCAAAATGTCATGCTCTTTCTCTCATCCTGTACTTTTTACTTGTTACCTCTCCATAGAGTCACTATGAGTCATAGTCTTCTGGAGGATACATTACAACAATGTAATGTAAAACACTTACATGGTATTTCTACCAAAATATATCTTGACCACACTAACCCTAACTTTGTATCTATTTGTTTACCAACGGTCTAGGGTTAGGGTTAGGCACAGAATATATTTGTCATCAATTATTCCAATTCTTCTCTTGCAAATACTAATAAAGCGCCAGCATTGACTTATTGACTGGAAACCATTTAGCATAATATATTGCACAGTCTATCTAATAAAGTATATTTGTGGAATGATTGAAAGAATGACGTTTGTGACAATAATTGTGATTTGTAATTTCTGTTTGCCAGAGTTCGTTATCTAGGAAAGGATAATATAACTCATGATACTGAAAACCACACAGTCTCTTTTGTTCAGCCCCAAGGGGCCATCTTTGAACCTTCATTGTCGAATGGAACAGAGAATGACACTTTCACGGTTCTCAACTTGGCTGTAGCAGTGAGTAGACAACAACTATATTTAAATAATCTATAATTGAACTCTATCAGAGTCATAGGTTTTTTAATATTTTTCCAAAATGACTTATGTAGTTATTGTGAATGGACTTATGGTCATTTGCAGAGATGGCAAGATCATTTAATAAACAACTGAATGCTATGTAAAACCAGTGAGGACAATGTATTTTGGTAGATTTTTTTTAGGTAGAAAAATGCAATCTATGTATTAGCACACCTACAATTTTTGTAACTGGCCATATTTGGTAATTTTTTTCTAATGGCATTTGGAAAGAATTTCTTAATTCTAAATTCTAGTATTTACTTTTTTGGTAAAATTTGATAGTTTCATCCACAGATCTGTGTGGTTAAACCAAAGGCTGGTAATTGGAATTGACTCAGGGCTTATGGGAAACTCCTCACATGTGGTATACAGCCTTTGAAAGCCCACTGCAGGGTCTGCTCTGAGTAGGTTTGGGTTTTGTTTTTTTAAATTGAGATTTTAACAAGTTTATAGAGAACTAGAGTTCCATTCATTAATTGTTGCACTTTTTCCTCCCTGCCCACCCTCACCCCCAGTTCACTTTTTTGGGGGAGGGAATTATTTCATTGTTGTACAATCCCCTTCTCTCAGTGCACTTCACTATGCAGCTCTTATTCTGGATTGCTGTCATGTAGATAATTCTTAGTCATAAATTCCTTTTAAGTAGTTCTATTCCTCATCTGTTTCAACACAGTGTACATTATTTATGTGAGATTTTACTATTGCATTGGTGACTAATACATGATTTTTGTGGTTTTTTGTTTTTTTGTAGGCTGCTCCCCACCTCTATCCAAATTCATTTGTTCAGGTATTACTCAATTCAATTATCAAAAAGTCAAAATCTACAATGTTCCAAAGAAGGACTGT